GTGTCTGTATTAGTAGAGTCTAATATATTGTATTTAATACAGATTGCCATTGTATTAGGAAGTTGTACTGCCGGTGGTGCCTATGTACCTGCAATGTCTGATGAAAGTGTTATAGTAAGAAAGCATGGAACCATTTTTTTAGGTGGCCCGCCATTGGTGAGTATGCAAGTATTATACATTTTTTAAAAGTTTTGTTTTTGAGCAGTTTACTCAGCAGAACACAGTCGCATGGTATCTCTTGTAGGATTTATTTGTTCATAGAGATAACTACTACACAGAGACACTATAGTATATGTCTACAGTGAAAGATAACTGTCTACTACACAGAGACACTATAGTACAGTACAGTTCTCGCGAAAGCTTTGACTTCACTTCAGCATCAGCTTTGCTTCAGCATCGCATCGTTATGGCATTGTTATGGCTTCATCGTCGCATCAATGTCGCGACATTAAAAAGTTAGGCGGTTATCACTTCGCTTCATTGTGGCCTCATTATGCATCGCTTCAACAAACAAAGAAGTACATTACTCATTTCGCCCAACCTCTCACCCGCTTCCGCTTTTCAAATGAATCGCTCACTTTTGCGACCGCTTGTTGAATTTGACCGGACAATTTCTGTTTCATTTTCGACCGTGCACAAATTTGGACTACTAACAATTTTCTGTTTTTTATAGATCACGGTTACTAGTTTAGTAACCGTGCATAGATGTTGAACAACCGTCAAAAGTTCAAATACTTTTTGTTTCAACTATCTATAATTATATGCACGCAATCTGACCCTTTGATCTAGATTTGGATGGGATTGAATATTTTATTTTAGACAATATTCTGGCGTGACGAACTGCTACAAAATGTATTTCAACAGAAGTACGACATGGTTGTCTGGGTTTCCTTTCCTGATTGTGTTGAGTTACGATTTGTATAATTATTGTTGTTTTCCCCCAAGGAGAAGACAAGCCGAAGAACCATGAAGCTAAATAGAAGTCCCAGCATAGACTGAGTGAAAGAAAATATTTCTAAGGCTAAAATAAAACCTAATATTACACCTCTTTGTGTATTTGTCAATTTTGCATATATTTGGTATGACAGTATGTTCATAAAAATCTAGAAAAATCTTGTCTTTCGTTAATAATTTCATTTGTTTGAAATGTCTACCGACTGTGTCCCAATAATTTGTTTGGAATATCGATCCCCGTTGGTTTCTCCAAACGATCCCGACGTCCGTCATTCAACACAATCAGCATTTATTTATCGTAATTCATGGGGATCTTGTCCCGTAATTTGCGGGCTGTAAAACCAAATAATGAAACAAGTACTATTTATTATATATTTTTTTTACCTCGCGAAATTACAACAGTGCAAAGAGTTATCGCGGTGGAACAGTCGCGTTGAAATCGATGGAACTTCAACTATCCATTTCTCACCTTGAAATAAAAAAAATTCGAAGAGCATCGGGGGATATATTATTAACCAATCTTACCAATCGCTAGTTTTATTTTATTCGAATCCATAAAATTCACAAGTTTTTCGACATTTGTTGGCAACTTCCGCACTAAAAATGGATGAAAATGTGGGTGTGGTTCTCTCGCAAAGTCCTGTTGATAATACGGACAAATATGGTTCTGTGACCCAGGTCGTGCCCCGATCAGGTGACTCTCAGCCAATCAATGATGTTGTAACAAAGCATATTTGATGCAAATTGAAGGGTCCTCGTACCATCCAATCTCCGGCGTCGATTCACTTAGTTTTTTGTGCTGTGACAGGCTTCACAATTATTCACTGAAAAACATCGGTATATTTTGACAAACAGATGGGATTTGACCTCAGTTCAAGAAAAACAAAACAGAACACAGGGCTGAAATACAAATCAGTTTTGCAAGTTGGGAAATATGGTAAACCAGACTGAGGTCGACGATTTTTAGTATCGAAGGACTTCCGTGTGAATCATGATTTTCAAATTGTTCATCGGCTGGTCACCAAATATTTATGATGCCATGCTGAGGCGACAATGAAGCCATGCGTAGGTGACAATGATACCACAAAAGCCAAAGCTTTTGCGAGAACTGTAATGTATATATCTACAGTGAGAGATAACTGTCTACTACACAGAGACACAATAGTATATATCTACAGTGAGAGATAACTGTCTACAACACAGAGACACAATAGTATATATCTACAGTGAGAGATGTCTGTCTACTACACAGAGACACTATAGTATATATCTACAGTGAGAGATGACTGTCTACTACACAGAGACACTATAGTATACATCTACAGTGAGAGATGACTGTCTACTACACAGAGACACTATAGTATATGTCTACTACACAGAGACACTTTTGTATATATCTACAGTGAGAGATAACTGTACTACACATAGACACTATAGTATTTATCTACAGTGAGAAATAACTGTCTACTACATAGAGACACTATAGTATATATCTACAGTGAGAGATAACTGTCTACTACATAGAGACACTATAGTATATATCTACAGTGAGAGATGACTGTCTACTACATAGAGACACTATAGTATATATCTACAGTGAGAGATAACTGTCTACTACATAGAGACACTATAGTATATATCTACAGTGAGAGATGACTGTCTACTACATAGAGACACTATAGTATATATCTACAGTGAGAGATAACTGTCTACTACATAGAGACACTATAGTATATATCTACAGTGAGAGATAACTGTCTACTACACAGAGACACTATAGTATATATCTACAGTGAGAGATGACTGTCTACTACACAGAGACACTATAGTATATATCTACAGTGAGAGATAACTGTCTACTACATAGAGACACTATAGTATATGTCTACAGTGAGAGATGACTGTCTACTACACAGAGACACTATAGTATATATCTACAGTGAGAGATAACTGTCTACTACATAGAGACACTATAGTATATGTCTACAGTGAGAGATGACTGTCTACTACACAGAGACACTATAGTATATATCTACAGTGAGAGATGACTGTCTACTACACAGACACTATAGTATATATCTACAGTGAGAGATAACTGTCTACTACACAGAGACACTATAGTATATGTCTACAGTGAGAGATGACTGTCTACTACACAGAGACACTATAGTATATGTCTACTACACAGAGACACTTTTGTATATATCTACAGTGAGAGATAACTGTACTACACAGAGACACTATAGTATATATCTACAGTGAGAGATGACTGTCTACTACACAGAGACACTATAGTATATATCTACAGTGAGAGATAACTGTCTACTACTCAGAGACTATGTTTACTTGTATCAGCATCTACTATTGTTCTCACAATTCTTTTAGGTGAAGGCTGCTACAAAAGAAATTATTTCAGCAGAAGAGTTAGGTGGTGCAGACTTACATTGTAAGTAAGTAAACACATGTAATCTTCACTTGTCTATGAATGTTGTCATTCTTGTGGTGAGTCGAAATTAATTTAATTTTCATTTTCTATAGAATTTTTTAGAATTGTTAAGTTTATGAGAACATCAAAGCTGGCAACACCATTCTTTTGTTCATTCTATATTCATAAATTGTTACTTGTGTTTCTTTACATTTTTAGCTTAGCTCATCAGGCTACCATGAAACTTTGTATATACCGGTATATTATGTACAAATAATATTTGTACGTGACATACAGGTTTTTACTCAGTCATTATATTATTTGTACATGGCATACAGGTTTTCACTCGGTCATTATATTATTTGTACATGACATGTTTTCACTCAGTCATTATATTATTTGTACATAGCATACAGGTTTTCACTCAGTCATTATATTATTTGTACATGACAGGTTTTCACTCAGTCATTATATTATTTGTACATGACAGGTTTTCACTCAGTCATTATATTATTTGTACATGACAGGTTTTCACTCAGTCATTATATTATTTGTACATGACAGATTTACAGATGTACATTGAAGTTTATGGACCTTAATACATGACACTATGTTTATCAGATCAGACTCAAAATGGCCATCTGGTGGCTACTACTTGTATTTCATGTGTTTCTCTGCAACACTTTTACTGATTAAATTCCATACATATGCACGACATAGTGCTTTGCATATTCTCATCCGTTGTTTTAGAGTGTTGATGACTCAATGTCAAGTGAAAACATAAATTTTAATGTCATCGTATGTATTTCCTGATTGTATTCAAACTTGGTGTTGACATCGCACATAATTGTTAGTCCCCGTTTGGACGTAGTCCGAAAACGGGGACTTATGTTTTCCCCTGTGTGCGTGCGTGCGTGCGTGCGTGCGTGCGTGATCACCTGTATCTCGAACATGCATGGACCGATTAAGTTCAAACTTCACTCATTCATCACACATTATATGGGACATATGCACATGCATTTTTTTCATGATCCGATTAACGATAGCCGAATAGCGGCCATTTTAAGGCCGAAAAAGCATCAAAATCGCACATTTTCACCATTCCGGACCCGGATCTCAGTTGTGCATGGACGGATTTTGTTCAAATTTGGTACATACATTATTAAACATAATAGGACCTTGATGCACGTCATTTTTTTTTTCAAATCGGATTCAGAATGGCTGACTGGTGGCAATTTTATTTTAATGAATGCGTTTCTCAAGCTGTTCTTTTGACATGACTTGACCGATTATGTTCAAATTTATATATTCACTA